GTTGTGCAAGTCGGGAAGTGGAATGTGTAGGAGGGAAGTGGAAGGTGTAGGAGGGTTTGGAAAAGTGATAAAATGGCATTTGTGCAAGCGAGGGTGACCACTGATCTCTGCCACGTTCACCCTGACATTGAGAAAAGTGTTGATCTCCCCCAGATCCTTCAAGACGCAAATGAGCTCCCCCCAATTTCGTATTTGAAATGTTCTATACGAGGTGTTATCCTCCGTTCGTCCCACCACCAAGACTACCTCCCCCGTGGTGGTAGAACGGGTCCTTGGTTCCATTGTCGAAGAGGTGACTGAGGCGTTAACGTTGGAACTGAAAAGTACGTATGGAAGGGATGTTATAAAAGAAGTGACATCTTTGGAGGATATGAATGTAGCGTCCTTCGCTGAGCATTGGCGTGGAGTTGGGAGGTATTGGAATTTGGCATGGACACTGGAGTGAGTCGCCGGCGGGTAGAATACGGTGGCGGTGAACGTTTGAACTTTGAACAGTGTGCGCGTGATAGGTCCGAGGTATCTCCGAGACCATTTACGTCAATACGAAGTTGTAACTTCTCTCTTCCACAACGGTTGCCTACTGCGGACTTCGATGCACAGTTGACCGCACAGCGCAATGTGCTCGTTGTAGTGAGCCATCCCACATCGAGGACATTCACGGCATTAGGTGGGGAAGTAGCGGCGAACGATAAGCAGCCGCTAGTTGTGTCGTTTTTGGCAAATGATGTTCCAGGTGATAGTGATGGAGGTCGAGGAGCCAACGGCGGCATCGGTTGGTGTCGCAAATGGACGGGACTGGGGCGACGGGGTAGATGGAAGCCGTGAACAGGTGAGCTTGGGTCCGTGCCGCGTGATACTCTAGAAGGGGACGTCTGGTGTCTTAGCTCGGGTGGTGGAGTGAGTACAGGAGCTGAGCGCTGAGCGTTGATCGTGTCATGGGAAGCTAAACGGCGGTGGTGTAAGTTCAGACACGACAGATGTGTGTGTTGGGAATTCTGATTGGTGAAGATGGGCGTGGTAGGTGGAATGGGTTGCACATTGACTCTGTGAGTACAAGTACCTCCCCCGTGCATCCGTGGACATCATGATGATCCTCTGATCCCCCAGTGGCCGTCTGATAATCCTCTGACAATACACGGCACGCTCTCTTGCTGTAGGACTAGGGCAGGGTTTTGGGCGAAGCGAGTGTGGGCGACGACACAAAGCATTCATGTGAGTACAAATATGGTGTGTATGGGCATCGCTAATGTGGGTGAAGGTATCTCCCCCTCGTCGACCACAGTCGCATCGGGCGGCAAGTCGTTAGGGGCTGAGCGGACATCAGGAAATAGTGTTTGTGAAGGCTCAGGGGCAGTTGCCGGGGTTTCATGTGTTTCCCGATGCCTTGTGAGAGGTGAGAGTGAAGAGCCGTGGTGGGATTTGTTGACGTGAAAAGGTGAGTAGTGAGTTTCATCCGTGACGACAGTAGTGATGAGTGATATTCACCCGGCAGCCTTGCTCCTTAATCATCGGTCCAGGTACATTCCAGATCAAAAATGCTCCCTCTCTTGAGACTTGGCTTTCCTCGACATCTGCAATCTCGGGTGAGGTGAAAGTAATGAGTTGGAGAATATCATGGCCAATGCATAGGATGATTGACGGGGAGCTAGTAAGTCACCCATCGTATGTATCTTGTGTACACCCGCCTGACGAAATCTCTTGGTATGCAGTATACATAGACTATGGCTCTGGGTTCCGATTGGCATGGGGGCTTTAGGGGTTGGAAAGAAATGGTGGGGCTGCAAGACGAGAATGTCGTGATGTAGTAGGGAACCTTTTGTGAATGGTTGGTGTGGGGCGTGGACCTGGTGGTGTGCCATGTGCGGGCGGGTTCATGATCGTCGTAGAGTAGTGGGGTGAAGCACTGGCACTTCTGGCATGCACAAAATTATTGCATAGTGTGGACGTAAATGCATGGCTGAGGATATGGTGGAATATATGTGACCGCAAAGTGAAGTATGGCGAAGTATATGTGAAGTCGGGAGGAAAAGTGCGATCTTGTGTGTCACCAAAGTAAAGTGTGGTGAAGAGCATGTGAGGCCGGGCAGTAATGTAGGGCCATGTGTGTCGAATGTCGTCGCCAGCTTCAAGCTGCAGCGGAAGTTGTGTGTGAGGTCAGAAAGTGAAGTGAGCCGTATGTGTTGGATGTAGATGCCAGCTACAAGGCTGCAGCAAAATTTGAATGGACCGTGAGGGTGTTCTCAAAATGAGAATGTGGGGGCGAGTCGCAGAGCCCAAGGTAGTTGTGACTGAATTCTCATTTCATAGGTGAGCGCAGCGGGGCCCATAACCTGTAGAAGCAAATAAAACTCAGACGTCAGTCACCGTAAAGTGAGGAACGACTGAGATTAGATAGACTACCTGTAGAAGCAAATAAAACTACAGGAAGTCAATAATGTAGATAACGATAATGTATCGTAGAAAGTACTCACCTCAGACGTCAGTCACCGTAAAGTGAGGAACGACTGAGGTGAGACAGAAATAAGGTTTCGTATATAAAGGGAAGGATTTGTGGCTTGAGGTAAAGACTAGTAAATAACGGAGGTAAATGTGAATGAGAGAAAAGGGAAATAAAAGGACTGGAAAGAAATAATAAAAACATACACGTATACAATGAAGGTCACGAGACGTCTCCTCTAACATGTATGTACTAGTAGTATCGTTGTGATTGTGCAGGGATTTGAAAGAGGCAACCTAATGCACTGCATCAGGAAAAGGTGATTTCTCCGATAGATCGCCGGTTAGTTCTGTAGCCAGATATAGAAAAAGTAGGCACTGTATTTTAGCCGAGCGCAATATGTAACTGCATTGGTCATGATAGCATGGCCTTGTCATTTGATAGTACCTAGAGCTGATGAGGAAGCAATATCTTATTAGTTGGATGAATAGTTACAGCAAGATCTATGTTGGCTATCAATGCTATGGATTTTGTATCTACAGTTTCTCTACCCCCCGAAACACACCGGCCTCGCCAATTAATAACTGTATTCCCCTCAACTTATACCTATTACTAACCGTTTTAGTGCATTGTCTGGAGGGCTGTAATGTCTGATCGTGCACGCGATCGATGGGGGATGTCGTTTGGTTGACGTGGACTTGGGAGATGGGTTGGCGTTTGGAGGGGGAGTGGCGAATCGCTTATTCGATGTCGGTGTTGACGTAGTTTAGCTGGGGTGGTAGGTGGTTGTGGCTGAGATTTGTGGTCAGAAAGAGCCACGTACCTTGTGAAATTACGCGACGCAGCCCGTCACCCATCGACAGTTCCTCCACATTGAGAACGAGATGGAGGCCCCACGTCATTGCTTTTGAATAACCCCCCTGCACCTCCTCGACACTACCTTCCTTTGTCGTCGCCTGTCACCGGGCGGCTGGGGTCTTCTGGCTGTGTTCATGGCACCGTATACCATGAGGGAGAATGACCGGTGGTGGTCGATTTACCAGAATCGACGTGTCCGATGGCGACGACGCTAACGTGAGTCTTCTCCTTTCCTGTTTTGTTGCAGGGCGTCTGCACCCACTGCTGTCGTGGTTTGCCCCTCTACACGCTCAGACAAGTATAAGCCCTAATCTGCACCTGACCTCCTTGAGATGTCTGAAGGGCTCGGATTGGTCACTAAATCAGACTATGCACTTTAGACATAACGTTGACACTCACCGTACCTGGGCCATTCGAGCGCGTGGTGGGCAGAGGAGTTGAACATTTGTTACTTAAGGGCGTGGTCTTTCAAAGCTTGACACTCGATGATCATAGCCACCTGAGATTCCATGTTCATATATTGGCCGGTGGTGTAGTGGTAACTATCGATAACTGACTAGAGTAACTTAGTAGGTAACTATTACCTCAAGCCCTGGAGTTCGAGTCCGGCTCAATGCAGAAATTTAATTTACAATACGAAGTAGAATACAATGCTTACTCTACACTACAAAATGAAATGGACACTTCAAATCCTTAGACTGACACGTTGTTTCCTATATTAGAAACTATGATGATTACCCCCCAAGAAAAAGCCGATTCTGCTTTTAGAATATTTATCAAGCTACCTTGTACCATAGAGTTTACATAGAGCTATGTACAACTATGGGAATTTGACTCTATCAAACTACACCGCCAATTGGCGCACAGGTTGATGGCGGGTTGCCAAATTTCCTGATGCTCATCAAATCTGTCACCTGTGAGTTACCTGATCCACATGCTGTGCCCAGGCCCAGCTGGCCATCAGCTGGTTCATACATGGGCACCAGCTCCGCTGTAAACATAGCGACCACCTTACCACAAAATTAGTATAACTGCTAGATTTCACTCAAAGGCAAGGGCTATGTAAGAGACGGTTAATGTAGTGCTTTTGCACTTTGAAATATACATTAGTTGTACGCAAATACAGCTTGTAACAACATTTGCTGTGCACAGTGAGCGAAATTTCACCCAAGTCATTTCAAACTCAGACACTCTGCAGGTTCAAATACTTCCAACCCCAGCTCAACCTTCCTCACTCTCACCTTCCGTCTCCGGCACCATTCTTCTCTGTCACCACCGTCAATAACCACCAGCACCCCGCATCAATCGTTCAAATGCCCTCAACGATGCAACGCCAGGTAACCAGCCCGTCAGCGCACCACATTTCAACAGGATGAAGACGACCTGGCACGCCAGCGGACATGCCACATTGTCCAGACGGTGACGACGCAAATCATTGTCACCGTCCCCTTGAAATAAGGTGAGCAAGGTGACTGCTGTACCCCTTTCCTTTTTTCACATGAGAAAGCAGTGCCACGTCGCCGTCTCAACTTGCAACAGACAAATGCTGACAAACGAGGACGACCAACGACGGTGAATGTCCAGGTGAGTAACACTATACCCCTCTCCCTCCGTTTTTGACTAAAGGAGCCCAGGCCATATTGCCATCGGCAATGATCTACAACAACGAACGACGTCGAGGTGAGCAAGACGACACCCCTCCTCTCTTTTTTTCACATAAGAAACAGGGGCCACATCGTCGACGGCAATGTGACAACTAGCAACGGACCAATGACAATGCACGACGAACGCCGAACAACGTCACGTCACACCCCTCCTTTTTACCTTGTTCGTGCATCTGTTCTAGGTACGTACCCAGTAACCCTTCATGACGGCCTACCAACTCATCCAACGCCTTATTACAGATCAGCCTGCTTGACACCACCACAAACAGTGTCAACCTATATGAGTAGTAGATAAAGTAGCTGTATATAACTCTTGTGTAGCCCGTTGTCAAAATGCAATCTATTCTTTTGTTTATGTTCTCAAATTGAAATAAAGCAAGGTGCAAATGAGGATGAATAAATTTATGAAAATGAGATGTAAACATGTAAACCCCGGTAGCTCATACCCAGCCCAATATACCAGCATTCCCTGAATGACCACCTGTCCTCAACATCTCGCTCCACCCCGGGGACAGGTATCCCTGGTGCCATGCTGTGTTTAGTGCGAAGTTCACACGGCGCCCAGCTGTCAACGGGTTGACGCGACATGGAAACTAGGTGTGATTACATCATTTAATCCAGGTGTCTGTGACCTGGCCACCGTTTGGTGGTGTATATGATGATACAGCACAACCACGCTAAGCTATAGACTTATGTGGGCCGATTTAACGGGATCTCCCGGATCCCCGCCGCTTTCGGAAGGTGCACGTGACCACGTGACCTGGCGTGTCGCGTCCTTCTCCCATTTCTCCTCCTCCCCCGCTGCTTCGACCCACCGCTTTGTCCCCTCCCAAAATTTAGCTTGTAGTGCACCATTTTGTATTTATTATACATCAAAATGCTATTTTTTTCCCAGTTCTGGCTTTCCTTTGAGCAAATATGCAGCCTTTGTCCAAAATGGACCTTGCGGCGCGTCCTTGATTGGGGCCTGGGTGCTGTTGAATTTTCGGGAAAAATACAAAAATTGCATAATGCCTCCAATGCATCTGCAGCTACATGTCTACCGCTTTTTTTGCTCTTTAGGGGGATGTTTGATAGGTGGTTTGCTGCAAGGACCTGAAAATAAGTGGGATAAGTACACATAAGTCGGCATAAGTGCTTATGCACGATGGATTTAGCTTAAATCAAGTTCAATTTAGTGGATTTAAGGCCCTGTGATGCCAACCAGCTCAATTTAATGTGCATTTCCATGAGCTGGCCTATCCCTGCACCCGATTTAAGGGTTTTTCGGCTCAGGGACCTAACCCTCTGCTATATCACATCAGCTGAATGTTTGTGTTCCGTCATTAAGCCTTAAATTCATGTAATGCACATAATATTTGCAGGTAATAATATTTACATGAGATGTAGTATACTAGGGGGGCAAAAAAGAACTTTCAGAACTAAACCTGGCCTTCCATTTCCCCAGACTGACGAGATCTTCGAGAGCGCGCCTCAACATACGTGGGAGAGCGCAGGAGTCAGGTGGAAGGAGGGCCACATGGAGAGGTTTGAGCGTGAGGCGGGGATGGTGCGTGGTGGTATGGTGAGGTAATTTCGGGTGCTGCTCACTTTGGAGAAGGAGGGCAGGCAATGCGGGTGCCAGTCGTGATGATGGAAGGGGGACGGCTGGAGATGAGTGGGGCGAATGGGTTGCTTGTGAGACAGATGGACTGGGTAGGTTCGGATGGGCTCCAAATATTGCGTCGGGTGTGGGTTGAGGCATCAGACTCGGGACAATATGGGTGAGAGGCGATGTCGTGATGAATTTGCATGGTGACTGTTGATGGGAGAGACGCTAAAAAGCGCGGGAAACGATGGGTGTGGAGAGTGAGTGTGGGCTGTTGTGCGTGTGTGCAGTAAATCATGGAAAGTATATATTATCAGTCAATGCATTGTAGCATTGAATTTTCAGACATACCTCATAGATCACCCGCTTCACAGGCCTTCTCTTGTGTTCCATCTAATCCCCACTGCCCGATGTATGTTGCGGTGCATCGTTTCCCATTCCAACGCGCTACGCGCAAATCATGCTCGACCGCACAAACGCGATGGCCTCTTGAAGGCGAGAACGCGATGGGAGCTGGGCTTCACGTGGCGTAGCGTTGAGCGCGTTGCCTGGAGGGGGTTGGCCGCAGCAAGAGGGGGTCGAGAGATGAGGCGAGAGGAATGGGATGGAAGTCAGGGTAGAAGGGCTTTGGAAAAAAAAGATTTCTCACGGAAAACAGAATCCGGTGACAGGCGCAATTTATCGAATTTAACATTCAGTGGCTTAAATTGAGTGAAATAATTGTACTTAATTGTAGTGATATGTATTTGTCGGTGCATCTACCACAAACTATATATCAGGGGGCTCTCGATGGCGCTACCAGCACTATCACGTCTACATACCACAATATCGCAAGTCCATTTTTTCCTGATGTGTGCACCCCAGGTCAGGTTATTTTCCCTGGGTGTAAAACTGGGTATATAGGTTATAATAACTACTTTCTCGGACTACAATCCCTGGGTGGTAAATAAAATAACTTGGTCAACAGGTTGTTGATACCTGGTTAGAATAACCTGTTATATGATGGAAATAACCTGCTCCCAGGTCTCGTTGTAACAGTTATTATAACCTGTTGACCACGTTGTACTGTAGAGGCAAAATAGCTGGGAAAAACAGGTTTTCTCACTCCTTGTCCAACAGATAGAAATCACCACATTGAATTTTGATTGGACTGGTACGAAAAACTTGGTAGACAGATGAAATTGAGGCTATGTGTTTATATACAACCTTTCTACACAGTATCGACCAACTTAAGATGCTTGGATGAATGTGTCATTGCTTCCTCATCCGAACCCAAAACCCTCATTTCCAGACTGAGCCCCCGGATACTCCATGTCATCGTCATCGTCATCCCCATCCCCACCATAGCCCACCAAAATTTCCCCTTTCCCCTCACCCAGTCTGCAGGGAAGCACTTTCGTGTGTTTGAGCGGATCTGGCATATTGAACTCAATTAGTAAGTCAGTTGCCTCGGGAGTAAAGCACTTACCAAACGGAAGATGTTAGCCAGTTTATGATGGACGATGTCAAGAGGTCAGCTGGCGCTGCTGGATGGGGGAGGAGAAACTTGAGGTTGTTTGATCCCATTCTCACGTTTGTAACTTGTTGAGTATTATATATAGAGATTGTGTTGTATGCTCCACAATGACATCAAAGCTCCCCCCGAGATATATATACACCTGGTTTACAAGTTATGAAACTTGTTGAACAGGTTATAATTTAACTTGGTATCTACTGGTTTCGAGGACAAGGTAAAATTTACTGGGTTTCGGGGTGATTTGGATAACCTGGTAATATCTGGGTATTATTACTGGGTTCAAAATAACCAGGTAGATACCCGATCTTCCAGTGAAAGGTTGAAAACACTCAGTGATCGGGGGAAAATAACCCGAACTGGGGTGCACAGTGATGGAATTAAACGCGTCCAATGCAGTCCGAGAGGGGCAAGCAACCTAAAGATGCTTGTGTATGTCAGTCACCATGCCCTTTTGAAATAAGGGTCAGGTTGGCTATGAGGTTTGGTGAAAGTAAAAATATTCTGAGCGCGTACAAAATTGAGATGATGAAAAAAGATGGACACTGTGGGGATTGAACCCACGACCTCATGCAAGCATATCAACATGCAAAGCAGGCGCGCTACCACTGTGCCAAGAGCCCATATACTACAGTAGCATTAAATGCATGTAACTTTCATAGGTGCCGTCAATGTTTGGGTACAATTTCACCCTCGTTCCCCTTCCTAAGAGCAACGCGCATCTGGCTCCCAGTCTTCTTCATCCTCCTCCTCCTAACACTCATTCACTTCCTCATCTCACTCCTTCTCATCGATACCAAACCACTCCAACGCAGATCTGAAAGTCAAGAATTACCTCAACTCAAGCGAACCCGTCATCCCTAACCCATTCGACTTTTGTCCGAGTTATAGTCCTGGCGATAGGATCGGTGATGGTGCTGTTACGCTTTCGAAGAGTAGGATGCACCTCGGGAGTGGGGCGAGGATTCAGAGGGTGTTGAATAAGGCGCTGGCGGGTCAGAGTGTTACTATCTCTGTTCTTGGCGGCTCAGGTATCCCTTTTTCTTTCTTTTTCAAGACCCCCAAACTCACGTACGACCCATCCAGTGTCAGCATGCCACGGTGCAGGGGACGACCCTATCTCCCCTACATGCTACCTATCCCGCTTCCACCAGTGGTGGAACACCGTCTTTCCACACCCCGCTACGGAATTGACAAATGGCGCTTTGCGACGCACGAATTCGGGATACTTCGGGTATTGCAATTCGCACCATCTTCCAGATCAGACGGATTTAGTTATTATTGAGCTGGATACGGAGGATGAACCGTGCGTTTCTTTTCGTTTGTCGTTTCTTTTCATTTGTCGTTTCTTTTCGTTTCTTTCGCTTCTCTGCCGTTTTCTTCATACCACCTTTTTCTTTTGTTTTTGCTTCTGTTCATTATCGACCGCCTGCGCCCACCCTTCTTCTCACACATTTCATTGCCGTCTTATCGTCACCCCCCGCCCATAAGACGGACTTTACCCACACCGAGCAGGTAGCCGCCCACGAGGCCATCCTATCTTGCTCGTTTTCTCGTTTATCTTTTGCCATGGCTCTGCCCTTTTCACATCTTCTATTCGCTATGACCATTATCGTCTTTCTCAGAGCCCATCTGGGAGAGTTTCGCCTTTGGTCCCTTAGGTTTTCTACCCATCCAATTCTTCTCCATTTCCCATTTCATAGAAACACCTTGTGTTTCGAAAGTCGAGCGGTCGGCGTTGTCGTGTTGATTTCCCCACTTTCGATTCCATTACCCCCGTTTCCCTTTCGTTGTGGGTCGGGCAGTTTGTTCTTTCCTTCTTTGAGCCGCGACGAGTTGTTGTGACCTACCTACCTTCCTTCTGCTTGTTTCCGGAAGACGTGGACCCCCTTCTTTCTTCCTTCTCTTCTTCGCGTTTCCATGGGATTTTCTTTTCTTGACTTTGGTTTGGTCGTCCTCTTTCTTGATAACCTCTGGGCGTCCCAGCGGCGTTTAACAGGGAGCCTGTCCCTGCTTCTTCCTTTCTTTTTGTGCTTGTAAGCTCCGGAGGGAGCGTACTTTTGCGTTTTCCTTGTGACCTATCTTATTTCTCATACTTCTGCTCCTTCAATGTGGTCGTCCTCTTGATAACCTCTGGGTGTCTCCTCGCCCACGCAGCGGCGTTTGGCAGGCAGCCTGCGCATGCTTCTCTCTTTTCTGAATTGTGGTTGAAAGCTCTGAAGGGAGCGTCTTTCCTTTTCTTTTCTCTTGTTAATCGCGACCAAGGACTTTCCCTCTCTTTTTTGTCAGGTCTTACTTTCCTCCCCGCTGCTATTGGATTGAAGGCTTTGCTGCGTCCTATCATGCGGCGCATGATCCCTCCCTTCTTCTCTTCTCGCGTTTCTATGCGGCCTCTCCTTCAATTTGGTCATTTTCTTGATATCCTCCGCCCGCCCAGCGGTGTTTGGCAGGCAGCCTGTGCATGTTTCTTTTTTTCCTTTCTTTATGAATTGTGGTTGAAAGCTCTGGCGGGAGCGTCTTTCCTTTGCATTTATCGCCGCCATATTTTTCTTGTCAGGTCTTCCTTTCCTCCCCGTTGTCCACTTCTATCCCTTTCGGGTCCCCCTTCTGCCAATCCATATGTGACCGCTTTTATGCTTCTTTTCTATCGCTTTGCGTTTGTCTTCTGCGTCCTATCATATGGTTTTTCCTTCAGCCCGCAATATCTTGGGAGCAGTCTCGAGTTCGACTTTTTTGAGCCTTGTGGTCTTTTACTGGATGTTGGGGCTTTCATGTGGTTGTCCTAGTGACCGTCCCTCCGTCTATCCGCTTGATCCTTCAACTTCTTTACCCTTCAACTTCTTTATCCTTCAACTTCTCCTAGTCAAAACTTCCCTTTAAAATTCAATCCTCCTCTTTCTCCTCTTCTCCCTCTAGCATCGAGACTAACCTATCTCACAGGAACCAAGACATGATGGACCACTTTGAGATCCTCATCCGCTCCATCCTCATAAGGCCCGACAAACCCGCCGTCCTCCTCCTCGGCCATTTCTCACCACAAACAGATCAAACACACGGTTTCGCAGGGCCAGACCACTGGCACAACATCGTCGCGCAATTCTACGACGTCCCACACGTCTCCGTCAAATCTTTTGTCGATCCCGTCCTCGCTAGCCCGTCAGGGCATGAACTCATTTCGGAGATACTCGTTGCGTACTTCCAGAGCCAGATATGTACGGCGTGGAGCGTGGCTACTGGGTCCTCGTACGAAGCTGTTCCAGTGCACACCGCAGGGTCTGAAGGAGGTGCAGGTGACGCCCATGGTCTATTTGGGAGTATCGGTCAACGCCCTGGAGTCCCTGAGCCAGAAAAGGGTGATCTAGCCGTTGACGCAGCTGTGGAAAAGAAGATGGCAGCTGCTGCGGCTGCTGCAGCTATGAAAGACCGAGGGGACTCGTCTTCCTCCTCCTCCTCCTCGTTCCCCTCGGCTCCTCACCGTCCCCTCTGGCCGAATCAACACCCGACCAAATGGGAACAGGCCCTTCGAAGAGATCGCCCCATTCTGCGTCTCCGCGAGCGACCTCATCAACCCTTTACCACCCTCGTTGTTCTACGGCTCAGGGTGGTACCCGCACCATCCGAGCGGGAGTGGTGGTGATGCCCTGATCACAGCTGCGCATTATTGGCACTCGGCGCTGCCGACGAGCAAGTTGCGGATACCGATACAGGTTGGTGGCGGGATATTGGTGTTTATTATTTGAGGGAGCCGGTGGGTTCTGTTGGGGAAGGGAGTTCGGTTGAGTGTTGGGTTGATGATAATTATGCGGGTGCGAAGGTTATTGAGAATGCGGCTGATATTGGGGATGCTATACCTACGTATGTCCTTTTTCCTTTCCCCTCTTCTTCTTTTTCTTCGCACCCACGCACAAGCTGATGATGGTTGGTTGTGTAGGTTGAAGATGATCGACCATTACGTTGGACGAGGTTCTCATTTCGTGGAATGTCAGTTGTTGGGTGAGGAAGGACAGAGTGTGCCGATGTTTAAGGTCATTGGGATTTTTGCGACGTGAACTCTCTGTTACTTACTGAAG